AGACCTTCATGCCTGAGAAGGTGTCCTACCAACCTATCTCGCCTATTTTTTATTGACTTCCATAGAGTCCTCTGTTCTCCTATTCTTTCTAATACCTCTTCATTTCTAACCTTTTTTACCCACGTTATCCTCATCATTCGTTTATAGCACCACATTTCGAAGACTTCTAACATTCTTTGTCTGTCCATGTTTCGCACCCGTACAACGCCGCGCTCCAAACATACATCTTTTTTAAATGCAATCTTTTTCAAATTTCTAAATTAACCGTTCGCGAGCATAGAAGTGACTCCTTTTTATTAAAGGCCACACGACCCTGCGCTATCCTCTGCTTTATATCCCTACTACTCCTTCCGTCCTGATTTATCTGACTTCCTAGATATCTAAAATCAGCCGCTCCTTCTAATTTTTCGTCTATATATCTATCCTTATCCTTAGCCTATCTTTACATTCACTCTTTCCCTACTTTTTCTTCCCTTGCATACCAGTATTTTAGTTTTACTTTTATTTAGTTTCATACAGTACTGATTTGTCAATACCGCTTCCATTTTATTTAAAGCCTCTAGATCCTCCTTGATAGATGCTAATATTGCTATATCATTTGCAAATCTAAGCATACTAATCTTTTGCCTTTGTACATCTAACCCTACAATTGTACTGTCTTTAATGATGTTGATCGCGTAAAAAAAAAGTAGCGGTGACAATGTGTATACCTGCCTGACTCCCTTCCTAATATTTACTTCTCTACGTTGTATCCCTAGCTCTATAACTGCCTGTTGCTCTTTATACAAACTAAGTATTACTCTTCTATCTTTATAACTCATCCCTACATTTTTAAGTATATTTAACATCTTGTCCAATTTAACATTGTCAAACGCTTTTTCTAAATCTACAAATCCTATGTACGCACTCTTTCCTTTTTCTATCGTTTTCTCTATTGTTACCCGTAAAGCTAGAATAGCCTCCCGCGTTCCTCTGTTTCTTCTAAACCCATATTGATCTTCCCCTAATAGTTCTTCCGCCGCTTTTTTCCATTCTCCTCTGTACAATTCTAGTTAAGATTTTTGACGTATGGGAAGTTAAGCTAATTGTTCTAAATGTCTTGCACCTATCCGCGCTCCTCTTTTTAGGTAGTTACTTCTACGTTCCGTTTATAATCCTCTGGGACTTTCCCCGTCTCGTAAATGTGACTAACTAGCTTAAACATACGATCTCTAACCTCTTGTCCTGCATGTTTTAGAATTTCCCCATGTATCCCATCTATACCTGGCGCCTTATTATTCTTAATAGGCAATTAACTAAAGACAATACATTTTGAAATAAATTTTATAAAATACCATTGCTAGCTAAAATTGGGACTACTACCTCAATTTTGCTCAAAAAAAAATATTAAGTCGGCAAATCCTGCTGAAAATAGTTGATGTTGCTTGGCGCTTTAGATGAACAGCACTTATTGCATTCTCTTTAATAATTTCATTAAGTTACAATGCAACACAATTAATTTTCTTAAGAATTGCGATTTAAAGTACCTAATTTAAATTCAAACAAAGAATTAAAGTAAAACTTTCTATTTACAGAAAACGCTTCAGAGAACAAAGAAACCTTACAAAACTACAAAACTGAAAGTGATTTACTAGGGTAAGTTATACTTTCGTCCAATTATTGGGTAGTTTAGAAATATATACCTATGTATATACGCATGTACTTACAAATAATTTTCAATACTACCAACAAAATAAAAAAGCTTTTAAGTGGCAAAGAAGATTTCTTCAAGATAGAAAATGTAAAAAAGAAGATACTCCATTTACCACAGTGAACATAAGTAAACGAGCACTTATTTCAGTTACCTCTGTTACGTTGATAATGTTCAATGGTCCAAACATGTGTCTGTCAAAAATTTATTGCAAATTGGAGTAGATCTCTCTAAACTTTTTCTGAAAAAGATTATCAATCCTAAGACTCGTTGGACACGCATTTCGACTCTTTCCTTTCCAAAATTAATCTTCGCATTACCCTAAAAAACCACAACAACCCTGTTTATGAACGGTAATCTAATCTAGGTCTACCTCAACCCTTCCTAACACCTGCTTCTGCTTCTAATACGTCTCTAACTAGCCGTTCATGCTTAGTGCTAAACAAAATTAGTATTGGTCTTGGTCTCCCGAAAGAGTAAGACCAACACCGAACAAATAATACCAAGACCAAAACTAAGACCGAATATGTAAGACCAAGATCAAATACGCAAGAGAATAATCGAAAAATTACTACTTCCAGTGGATTTATGAGTTGAACTATTTAAAGCAACTGTAATATATTCCTTTCTACATGAATGTCCTCTTTGTTCCTTTGTCTGGATAATGCATGGTTAAAATATAAAGTCGAACTATTTTTTTTTTTGATATTTTTTAATTTTTTCATGGTAGCTTGTATCATTTTGTTCGCTAAAAGATGAATTTATGCGTTGGAAAAAGGGTAAGTTCTCGAGTTTTATGACTCACAACTGTTGATATTATTTTCTTTAAAAATTCACATGTATGATGATTGGTTGGTTGATAAATTGAAAAATTTGTGCTTAGAAAAATGAAAAAAAAAAACATATTAGATTAAATGAACAAAACCAAGTCTTAATACGCAAGACCAAGACCAAGACCGAGACTATATCAGCAAAACCAAGACAAAGACATAAGCTATATCAACAAGAGTATGACCAAGGCTAGAAGTATTTGAACAAAACCAAGGTCAAAGCCGAATAAGCAAGAATAACGCCAATACGAAAACTGGGACAGTATTGGTCTCGGTCTTACTTTGCTCATCACTGTTCATGCATAAGAAGGTTTCCTACCAACCCATCTCCCCTCTCCCCAATTTCTTCTTGACTTCCGTTCCACCCTCTGTTCTTCTGCTCTTTCTAATATGTCCTCACTTTTAACCAGACCAATACGAAGACTGGGATAGTCTTGGTCTTGTTCTTACTTTGCTCATCGCTGTTCATTCTTAAGAAGGTATCATACCAACCCATCTCCCCAATTTCTTCTTGACTTTCATAGCGCCCTCTGTTCTTCTGCTCTTTCTAATAACCCCTCATTTTTAACCAGACCAATACGAAAACTGGGACAGTCTTGGTCTTGTTCTTACTTTGCTCATCACTGTTCATTCTTAAGAAGGTATCCTACCAACCCATCTCGCTTATTTCTTTTTGACTTCCATAGCACCCTCTGTTCTTCTACTCTTTCTAATATCTCCTCATTTTTAACCAGACCAATACGAAAACTGGGACAATCTTGGTCTTCTTACTTTGCTCATCACTGTTCATGCTTAAGAAGGTATCCTACTAACCTATCTCGCCTATTTTTTCTTGACTTCCATAGCGCCCTCTGTTCTTCTGCTCTTTCTACTCTTTCTAATATCTCCTTTATTTTAACCGGACCAATACGAAAACTGGAACAGTATTGGTCTCGCTCTTACTTGCTCATCACTAGTCATGCTTAAGAAGGTATCTTACCAACCCATCTCGCCTTTTTTTCTTGACTTCCATAGCGGCCTTTGTTCTTTTGTTATTTCTAATACCTCCTCATTTTTAACCATCTCTATCCACTGTAGCAGAACATTTCGAACGCTTCTAATATCCTGTTTTTTCCACCGCGTCCGCCGTCCACGTTTCGCACCCGTAAAGCGTCGTGCTTCAGAATTTTAATAAGCTTTTTTGAGTAAAATTTAAATAACTAACAAACTGTTACTTTTTTGGTAAAAAAGTTATACTTATTCTATTAGTGTAAGCAAAGGTGCTAAGCTAAAATTCGAAATTCTATTTTATTTTTGCGTTGTACCAGTAGCTCCTACATATGTAGCTGTATTTTTGCAACCGCAAGTTTAAGCAGCTCCTAAATAAAAGACAAAAGAAATTTTAAAGTGCAATTTTTCTATATGTATTCATTGTAATGTTATAGAATAAAATATTTCTTTAAATCTTAAGAAAAGCTTTTCTTCCATTAGTTATTAGGTAATTAATTATTGTATAAATTTTTATTTTTCGAAGAACATACTACCAAAACGACATTATCCCTATTTCTTCGAGCTCAGCTCGAGCATAAATTAAAACGAATTTGTTTATTCATTTTCTGGAAGGTATATGAAAATCCTCCGACTCACTTAAAATAAGGAATACCGATGGGCTGTTTCTCAATTTAAAACAGCCAGAAAAAGGGGGCAAATATCACCTAATACCTTCTTATTCATGGATAGTAGAAATTCCGGCGCAATTTTCTCCGTAAATATTTTACATCGGGATTTTTCTCCGTATTGCGGTACACCAGGACGTGCCTTATCCTACTAGATCCAAGCATACCTAGATTAACAATTTTGTATGTTCACTATCAGAGTACATACTATACAAAGGTACACAATGAAAATTTAGTCTTCTTAGCAGTGGCGTATGCACCCTACATCCTTTTTTCTTGATGGTAATAATAATTATCATAATAAAACATCTAGTTGAGAAAGAAGAATTCATTAATAATTATTACAAAATACTGAAAATCAACATTATGGTTTGATCGTTTTTAGGAGACTTTCCAGAACTTTCTGTCATAAAACTAGATATTTTAGGAATTTTTTTATCTATTTAAAAAATAGGAAGTAATAATGAAGCTACGTATCGTAACGCTCGATGCATAACTTATACTAATTGTAAAACAAAATAAAGCTAGTTTAAGTACCACATTAAATATAGTGAAAATCCCTATGTTCGGCTCTCAGTTCACCTGAACTTTAAGCTTTAACATCCGATGATGGGTGTCTTAAATGTACGAAATCGTTAAGTCCAAGGGATGAAATATTTCTCGCCTCTAAAATATTGAAGTCCTCAAAATTTTCGCACCCCTACATATGGGGTAATCGTACATCCAGCGCTGCTTCGAAGGATTCATAGAAGATCCAATACATATGCCTCATTTAAACCTGTTTATGTTTCATTTCACTTAAACAATTTTTATGGAACTGTTTTGTGTCCAAATAATCCTTTTTATCTAGGAAATATTTGGATACCTAGGAACTAAATAATATACAATAACATCTGTTTATAACAAATATATTATAGCCTTGAAAAAGGCTTAGATCGGAAGTCGAAACGTCGGTGGAATTACATTATTAATAAAGAACATGTCACCCCTTTCTAACTGCATTTAATTAAATATATATATTTGAAGAAGATAATACAAAAATAAATACTTTTTAATCCGTAGCATTTTTCTATATCTTTTTAATAGTAAGTGAGGATTAATTATAATTCTATTTAATGTTAAATTTAATGTACCATCTAAATTTAATGTACTATCTAAACTTTATATCAACTTTAATTTTTACAGTGAAATTGAGAGAAAGAAACAAAACACCATAGCAATATCAAGAACACTTACAGACACAGGCTATTACGCACCAAAGAGGTAAGAAAAATTATCACACATAAATACCTTAGTATAATATAAATTTTTACAGATTTACAACAACGTGTTACTTCGCACCAAAAAAAAATCCAGTCAAGTTTTCGGAAACCTGCATAATAACATTGGGTTCAAAAAAGAAGCAGTATTATGAAACTGTTCAATATGAAGTAAGCTTTTATAATATGATTACATGATATACGATATGAAAAAGATTTTGTTTTTACACTACTTTTATATAATCAATTTCAAAATAGAGAAACAGTACCCTAGGATGCAGGTGGTGACCAAGCAAACATTTTAAAAGGAACCCAAAGCTTCTTAACCTGGTCGTGTAAGATTACGTTAGGTTAGGTTAGGGTCAGGTTAGGTTTTGTTACTTTTTTTAAATTATATGTTTGCGTCTCTATCTTTCTGTCCCCATATAAAATCACTTTTTTAGTGTTTACTCCTTTCTCTCACTTTTTCTTCCTCTGGCTGATGGTCCCCTTATCCGCACAATTTCCAATTTCTCGTCTCTACCCCATACACTTCTATGTCTCCGTTTCCACCGAAAGTCTTTTGTTTAGCATTCTTCAAGGTCAAATTACTACTAAATATTAGTATTACAACAGACCTCTGCTTCCGCAATTACGGAAGTTCCGAATACTTTTTCACATCCGCTTCTACGCCGATAATGTGCAGCGTTATAGCCGGCAAAATATTGTTAATAATAATATTGTCCCTATGTAAATAACTTTATTATAGTTTAGAGCCTACATCTATTTCCTAGTATTTGGTATGTTGATATTTTCCACATTTTACTCTCTTATTGATTCCCTACTTCAATCTAAAAACGTCCCGGACTTCCAGCTCCTCATTAACAGTCTTAATCATTTCATTTCTAAAATACTAACACAGATATAGCGTTTAATTATTTTGTATCGTGTTTGTTCAGTATTGTTAGTTTTAATTTAAAAGTGCAATTTTGAAGTCAAATAGAAGTCCTAGTTGCAATTATTTTGTTGATATTAACGACACGAATGTAAAATCTGTAACAAAATATTCACAAAAACGACGCACGACCACTGCAATCACTGTCATCTAAAATCATTACATTTTCGCTTCCGCATCTGCTTCCGATTCCGCTTCCATAAAAATTTACTGTTTACTTCTGTTTCTGCTCCTTCCGTTACATCACACTACATATTTTATGAAGATTCCTATAGAGAAATCTAAAATTAAAACGTATTTTCAATTAAGGGTTCTTTGATTATAAAATAAATTCACAAAACATATATATTGAGCAGATGAGTCAACATCACTGAAATATGACTAGTATGCATAATTAAAAAACTAAATATTCAGAAATACATATGTATTAATAGGTTGCATGTCATTTTAACTGGTATGGATTAATTGAACAAGAAATAATTTTAAAGGAAGTATTGGGATCCGTCAAATGGGCATACACCATCTGGTGGCAAAATTTATAACTCGAATGAGGGAAAAATTTACATAGGAACTGTGCACGCAAATTGTAAAATTGTTTATTAAAATAATAAAACACGTTAAAGAAGTAAAAATTTTTTTGATGATGGAGTCGACGAAGTTTTCTTCTAATGTTAAATCAAATAAAAAGTTAATATGTTCAGTGAAAAGCTGCAATAGCACTTCAGACATAGATCTTCACTCTTCACCTACATTAACTACTTTCCAATAAAAACTAACCGTTTTATATATGTAAAAAATATATTCGGAAAATTAGAGAAAAAAGTAAACTAATAGAAGCTTGGATGAAAGCAGTAGGTATCAAAGAAGTGAATTCCGCAATAAAAATTTGTTCAGGTCATTTTAATGCACATGATTATATTTCAGCAAGTATTTACCATCAGCCATAACCTTAATATTTAAAACTAGAATCATACTAAAATTATAAGGTGAGAAATTATTTATTCCTGTGTAATTGATTTAACACAATTCTAATGATACGATATAAGTATTTTGAGGTTAAGAACCTACCTGCTGCAATACAAAAAAGTTGCAATAATGTGTTTGCAACGTTCTCTTAAATCGGTTTTGCACGTGCAAGTTATTGATATGATATTGCTTAAATCACCCAGAATCACCTCACCAATTATATAACGTGAATCACTTTTTAAATCCGATGTAAAAAGTAGGCAGTAAACTTGACGGAATTTGCTATTTACGAATTTTATTGGCATTAAAAACACGCTCACCTTCAACGAAATTTCTTTTCCGAGGCTTTGTGTCAGCCCAATCACATATTGTGTCAATACTTATCATGTTATCGTAATTTAAAAACTTGGAAATTGCACGGTATACTATAGGAACTACGATAAATTTTCCCTAATCGGCGCCATGTTTTTAGGCTCTTCCCATTTGACAGATCCCAATACATTTATCATTTCTTTTTTTATTGTAGACTAAACTTTTACCTCAACATTGGAGCGAAAAAATGAGCGTCTTCCTTAAGGAGCCGTCTTACACAAGCGAGAAGGTGGTGCCCATCTCTGACCCAGAATATCACTACATATCTCTAGAACCTCAACAAATAGCAGCAAAAATGAACAATCACGTTCTTTCTGCTAGTCCATAAATTATTTAAGTATACATGTTGCTCATATCGATGAACCTTTTATTACCGGAAACATAAAATATGTTTGCCACGTTACACTCTTACCAATTAGTAATTAAGTATATATGCATTAACATTCCATTTGACATATAATACTGTTATTGTTTGCTATTGATTTTTTATACATATGTACTGAATACAATTAATAAATATATTATTCATTGATTTACCTACTACTACTCATGATTTATTAATTTTAATTTAATAACATCATTTTGAGCTTTATTCCAATTACATATATTTTGTCTGGATGTTTTAAGGAAATCAAAGTACTTACGATAGAAATATTTCAAATTAACAGTTTAATATTTGTCTTTATTGTATGTTTTATATATTATCTTCACAAAAAATGTAGATATACATTAATTTTAGAATTATTTACAAAATTTTGGTATAAAAACTCAGCTCATATTCTTCAGTTATCCAAGCTCCAAACCATTGGTAAAGATCAAGGAAGAAAACAATCGGGAATAGTTTTCGGACATGACTGTTCCACATACAAACGTTTAAAAAAGTTAAAACATGTTTGGGCACCCCCAAGATAATACATTAAGTGACATGATCATTCCAAGACAGTCTCTGGGGATGCCACTTTGGACGTTTTAGGTTTTTCGAACGTCATTATGTGGAATTGTGGGTTTTTAGTCTTTTTTTAGTTTCATAAAATTACCCTCAGTTACCTGCCATGACTCTGATAGTAGATAAATATTATCTCGATATTCCGATGTCTTTAAGAACAGCAATCCAACTGAAAGGATGCATGTTAGGATAACCGCATGCAAAAATTTAATAATTATAAATACTTATACCTACGTTAATCATAATTTAAGAAGGTTTTACAGAAAATCTCCAAAAAAAATAAATCAAATTTTTTTACCGTCAAATCTTTTAAGCTTCCTTTCGAAAAATAACTTGTAAGTGCATAGTAACTAAAACATCTGAATCTTATTTTAGATATTTATGTTATGTATTGTATACGTCAAACCGCTTGACAGCCATTATTTAACAAAAATGCTGAGTACTTTCACCCAAGACCAGAAACAGCCGGTGGAGAAAGTGTATGAGGATGTAGGCGCTGATGCAGCTACGAGAACTCAGAAACTCACCTTCAAAACTTTCAAGCCCCCCAAATTTAATTTGTTGACATTTTATCATAATGTCACGTATTTAAACTCCTTCTCGCACTATTATTACTTTTATTTAACTATTTTCTATATAATTAACATTTCTATTATTAATCAACTATCAATTCACCATTATATGAGCACTTTATCACTTCTTCGCTTCTCCTTCTTCACTTTATATCGCCTCGAACTCTCTGACTCTCAAATTGTAGCTTCGTACGCACAGCGTTATGAATAGCTTCTAGTCGTTCTCGTATTCGTCTGTAGGTACTGGAGAGTCTCTAGGACGACCAAGTATCACGTTCGCTGGTAACATGAGTTCTTTCTCGAATTAAATGCTGGCTGATGTTCTTCCAGTTACCTCATGGATGACGGATCTGTAAGCCAGGAGGAATAGAGGTATGTGTCGGTCTCGGTCAGACCGAGCGGCATGGCCGGTTCGATTCCGGGTCCGTCTGTCTTTGTCCAAGTTTTTCTGTGGTTTCCTTGGATCAATTAGGCAAATGCTGGGGCAGTAATATTCCACAGTTAATCTTTCATTCACTTCTGTCTTCATTTCGTCCGTCTCAACGTTCTCACCCAAACCGCCACCCACCCATTCCCACGATTTCTGAAAGCAGGCTGAAGAGGGCCTTCCGCCCTACCTTCCGGCGTAGTCTGGAGGGACTGCCCGTCCACCAGCATTACTGGCTGGTGGGAATGAAACACCCAAATTTTTTTTTTCTCAGTCAGTTTGGTGTGCGTTGACGATGCTTCTTAAATTGGTCTCCAGAGTACTATTCCATCAGACTGTAGATGTAAGGGCGTAGTCCTTGTTTTAGTAATGCCCATTAGTTCAGCGATGTTCTTGAACAAAGTTGATTCAAAGTCGGAATACTATTCCAGCGGTGGTCTATATCGGCTAATCCAGTCATTGACAAACTTCTCAACAACGATCCGTGCTTTCTGGTTCGATATCGCATATACTCCGGGCCACTTGCTAAAGTAATCCACGATTACCAATATGTATCGGTTACCGGAATCCGTCACTAGGAATGGTTCTGCAACGCCTTGATCTGAGGGGTCGAAGACGTGTTGAAAACGACCAAAACGTTTTTCCCATTGATGCTTGTTGGAATGTTACTTGACCGTTTAATAAGATCTGACAGAGTTGCAGGAAGTGATGTCAGTTTCGTCTAGGGTTCTTCTTTCCAATCACAGTGGTGGATTACAGCTACTGGTTCAAATATACCCAACTCTGTGCCTCTACAGATCTTTGCTCGAAGTCTTTCAAATTGACTATTGTAACAGGTATTGATGATGTTCCACTTCTTACGAGCGTAAGTCCTACCAATAGTCAACTGTATACGATCACATATCCAATTCTAATTTCGACATTGCATTTTCCATGGATTGGTAATGTCTCTCCGATAGCTGTAGTTAAAATCAGTCAAAGTTCGAATTCGCCCTTCAATACCATATCAGGGCGAACGATGGTGTTGAATGACCCTGTATCGATAACCCACTCTAACATTGTGCTGATTAATAAAACCTTCTATAAATAATGAGTTAGCGTCGTCCAGTATTGAAATGATGACTTCTCTGGAGGCTTGGCGAAGTTACTTCAACATCAAGGGGTTAACCAAACACTTAGTTCAGCATCCCAGTAAATAATGACATAATGGGTCTGCAATAGACTGATTTATTGAGTATTTTTCAGGCGTTTCATTTGATGTGGACCTCTTCTTTAAGGAGACATGTCGACTACATGGTGAAGCGTCAAAAAAACTATATTTCATAATGATAAACAGTTTAGACTTTAAGAAGCTACTGATTAAACTTTATGGGTCTATCTGCTGTCTATCCGCAAGTAAAGCTCAGTTGTGTGATCTTCATCGTTGAAAGACATCTCGGACATGCTAAAGGGAGTAAGGCGTCAATTTTTACGTTATCTATCTTTTAAAATGGGATATCCATGTCTCATGATTATAAAGTTGTCCTTTTGAGGCTGCTGAGGGGCTCTGTAGATTCCAATTAACTGTTAAGCACGATCCTACTGCGTGCTGCGACCTAGATTACAGACTTTTGCGTATGATAGCAGATTAGTTGAAAATACTATGATAAATACACTGCTTCCTTTGGGAGCAAATGGAGTGACACCAGCAGGGTGTTTCAATGACTTTTATCATTACTCTTAATGTAAGTCTATAATTATTTGTAGTTGTAATTGTTAAAGGATTCTGTCAGTTNGTTTTTTACTCGAGAAAAAATTATAAACGCCCAGACTTACAAGCGGCTCCTCATCGGGACTTTTATCAAGAGGTAAGTAACCCCCGGATAATTACTTTAAAGAATTTAATTCTAATCGCAAATTAAATTGCTAATAAAAGAGATAAATTACAAAAATGGAGTACGTTTTAACATAAATTGTTATTATTGTTTGGCCTCCTACAATTAAGGGAGCTAACGATTAAATATAGAGAGGGTAAGACTGTGAACATGGGAGATCCTGGGCTAACCGTACTTAATTAATCGAGTTAATTACCATTTTGTTAAAAAATTATTTCCTTTAAAAAAATTTGGACAATTGTTTGTAGTTCTGTTATATAAATTATAACTCATTTAGATTGTTATTTTATTTTCTAAATTCACAATATTATCCATTGTCTTCAATGTGGACTAGGAACCCTTTACATCTACAGCTACGGGGCTCTGAGCTGCAGCTCAAAAAGCTCATATGTCGATCCCGTTCTGATACTGTACATTCACGAGGCCCTGGACTACAGACCAAGACTGTTTTTTTTTTGTAGAAAATAGAAACTTAACCATTGTGGAAATGTTAATTTTACGCAGTATCATTGGCGGTTACTAGCGTTTTTGACGATTTTTACCTTAAAAAAGCTTATGCGTCTGTTATACATATACTTTTGTATTTTTTCTCCATGAAATATTTTTGGGATACAAAGAACACTTTCACCGCCCGTTCCACGATAATTAAATCTTCACCGTAATTTTTCATGGGTTGTATTTATATAATACATTTCATTTAGCAAATATCTTATTCGAACTTTTCAACGTGTTTTTACTTCTTTTGTTTGTAATCTTGTCTTTTATTTTTTTTTTTTAAACTTTTCGCCTCTTTTTATCAATGGAACCATTTATCATTGCATTTAACATTTAAAGAAATAAGAATGCATGCCAAAAATAAAAAATAGAACAATGCATTTCCACTTAATGATATTTTGTGTTTTTGAAATAATGGAATACATTATGAGATTTGATAATGACGAATGCTGGCAATTATTTGAAATGTATTGTCGTTTGTCAGACACATTTGTATCAGAAGCGTGAAAAAGAAATTGAAATTTAAACGAGTAAAATTAGAAAAGGCCGAGAAAATAAATGCAACAAAACAGAGAACTTATAATAGTTTCCTACTTTTCTAGCAAGGAGGAGTTAGAGATAGCTTTAAACAAATTGGAAGCGATATTGACAATACAGTATTGTATGAAAATAAATAAAAGTAAAACAAAAATACCGGTATGCAAGGGGAGGAAAAGTAGGTTAAAGAGCGAATATAAAGTTAGAAGACAAAAAATTAGAAGAAGTGGCTGATTTTAGGTATCTAGGAAGTCAGATAAATCTTGATGGAAGGAGTAGTAGGGATATAAAACAGAGGATAGCGCAGGTTCGAGTTGCTTTCAATAAAAGAAGTCACTTTTATGGTATTCGATTAAGTGTATGTTTGGAGCGCGGCGCTATACGAGTGCGAAACATGGACGGTGGGTGATGAGGATACCATGGATAGAGAAGGTTAAAAATGAAGAGGTATTATAAAAAATAGGAGAACAGAGGAATATAAGGAAGTCAATAAAAGACGAAATAGGTTGGTAGAACTCCTTCTCAGGCATGAAGGTCTAGTCAGAGACATATTAGAGGCAAAAACAGGAGACAAGAGGAGTAGAGGTAGATCCAGATTAGATTACTGTTCTCAAATAGTTAAGAATATGGGTTGTTCTAGTTTTGGGGAAATGCCAAGATTAGCTCAGGATAGGGAAGAGTGGAGGTGCGTGTCCAACCAGTTTTAGGACTGACGACCTTAAGATGATGATATAACAAAAATAGTAGGTACTGTGAAAGATCTCGGTCCATGGTGACGCCAACTCTATCGAATAATCACAACAATAACAAATACCGGGCGACATGTAGATGGGTAACGAAGAATGGCGCGCATGCAGGGGCAAGGGGAATATGATTCATGCTATTCTGCATTCTGCTATGTACTTCCAAACCGAACATTTTGTACATTTTATTTTAAATAAATTCAATTATAATTTAAAAACGGTCAAAGTGGTTTAGCAGTACCTATATTATAATCCTCTACAAGGCAAAATCCCGAGAGGGGATGCCGTACTTTCTTGTCGAAGCCCGTATGCGTTTTTTTAGCATACTCCTGAGACGAAAGTACCATTTTTCCTAATTTCAGGAACGAGAAAATGCAACACAACCTCTCAAACAAGAAATCAAGTTAGTATTTTAACATATTGTACAGGAGGCTATAAGTGCCTTACTCTCTTGATGAGGTCCATATACGATATTTTGCCAAATCCATGCGACGAAAACACGATTCTTCATGATTTTAGAAACGAGAAAGTGTACACCTCTTGTTAATCGATATCTTTAAACAAATGATATTTTGTTGCCAAAATTTTGCTCTGTCGGCGTCGCTTACTAATTTTAAGTTCTTAAAAAGTTATAGATCAAACTCGCATAACTATTTGAAATTCTGGGCGTTTCTTGTTAAGTTGACATTATGACAGCAGGGGGCGCAAGAAATCTACTTTTTCATCTATGATCATGATGTTATATCGACTATGGTCATACTATTTATGGTGAAATGTCAAATTTTCATATTACATATAAATAATAGTTAACTATGTATGCTTAAATTTTAATAAGCAAGTTAAAAGAAATATTATAAACTGGTGCATGTTTTGCAATTTTTACTTTCATTTACTTTACATTGAGATTATTGGAATTTCTTTATAACGATCGCATATTATACATGTTATACACTTGTCTCTACTTGCACATACAGGTTAAAATTTTTAATTCCGTAATCAGCAGTAACAATAACCATAACTGACTTTCGAAACAGTGTTCTCCGACTGAAGGGTCAAGGTTTAAGACGAGTTCAGTTTTGATTTTACTTTGTACGTGTTACCTGACGGAGCTGTACTGTTACAATTTATGGATTAAAGGAAGTCAAAATGAAAGCATATTCGTTGTATAAATATAATAAGTTTTGAGTTTGTGATAAGATAAATCAGGTGAGATTACACATTGTTAACTATATTTCTGTTTTTTAATGAGTGTCATTTTTTATAGTGATCTCTGTTTATGATACAAATTAAGTGTTTAATGATTTTAATAAATTAGCAATCAGAATGGCCCCTAACTTTAGCAAATATTTAACACGACAGAATGCTCTCTCAGCTGCAGCATGTGCAGGGATTTTATGGTATTTAAGTGCTAGACAACGATTAAAACTTAATAAGTTAGACAGGTAATATATAACAATTAGTGCATGAATTTTTATTAAAATAAGTTACATGTTTTAGAAGAAAGATCAGAAAGAAAATTGATGAAGATGTAAAGTATTTGATAGCAGAAAAGACTGCTCCATCAACTAAAGCTCATGTCGATCGCAAGTTCTTTTCTCAACTTTTTCAACTACTAAAAATAATTATACCAGGATGGACATCATCGGAGAGTGGATTACTATTTCTGGTAGCAGCAAGCTTGGTAGCTAGATCACTGTGTGATTTATGGATGATAAGTAATGGGACTAAAATTGAAAGGTATGTTCTCTGATTCCATTGTTTATGCAACCTTTGACACTACTTTTTACAACAAATCATTGTTTATATTATCTGTGACCATTAAATTATTTTTTTTGTTTTTTGTGTTTTTTCACAGTTTGGTAAATTAATTTACTGAATTTGCTATTATAGAAGAACTGAAATTGCAAATGATAAATTAGTCATTCTTTTTTATTAGAATTCTAGGTACTTATTCTATACATTCACAAGTGTCTAAAGCTATTAATTTATGACTGTCCCCTTCTTATCTACTTTTATGTAAGATAGAGGATTAGAAGTAACCAAAAAGGTTTGATGAAATACTTTTTATAATTTTTTTGTGTAATTTATTTTTTANATGCAATATTTATTGACAAAAAAAAGATGGGAATTTACACACAAAGCACAGGTCATAAAAAGGATACAGTTTTTAAATTTAACAGTTATAATTGAAATTGATACACCATAGTCATTTTTATTAGAGCCAACATAATGATTACAAGTGTATGATACATTAATAAAATAAAGAGTGGTCATTAAGCTGAATTATTGAGAGAACTAAAACACTATAAGATAATGCAAAAGGTGCTAAGAAATAATAGGCAGAGAATTAATTAATGGCTTAATAGAATAATATGTAGGTTGTTTTTAAAGATATGAATGCTATTGGTTTCTTACTCTATGACAATGTTCCAACTCTTTCACATTTAGAGTATATGTGACTGAAATTAATAGTTTGTGGAGTGAGTGTGCTCGTTTATTGTATAGGCATGTCTCAAGGTGTAAGTGGTAAGTTCTTGGATGTGAAGAGAAGGAATAGTTATTTGTAATTCATTATATCATGTTTACTTATAAAATTATCAAATATATGAAGAGTTGGGGGAATGCTGTTAAAGAAAAAAATAACCATTCTTAAAATGTTGTCTTCTAGTTCATTGGTAACCGCATACTATTAAACTGAATTGTATGCTTTTTATAGTTGAATTTCCCCATTACTGTAATTTTAGAGACAGGAGGTTGGAGAATTGATTGCATCGTTGTATAGAATTTGTTAATTGGCACTATTTACTTACATTATTATTTTATTAAAGTATTTTTGCATCGCATCATATTTTTTATGTTTGTGAAGTACATAATGTTTTCAATAGCTTTTATATGTTCATTTTTTTCTCATATAATTGGGACGTTCAAAATTGGCATATTTCCCAATAAAACTGTCGCATTTACTTTCTTCTTTCAACTTACTAACTAGACTAGAGCCATTGCTGACAAAACGTCTACTTTTACTCTCGACAGATGTTGTAGGAAATATAATAAACATAGAAAAGAGATGTCAGGTAGGAATTGCAGCGAACAGTAATAAAGAAAAAGGAATAACATTACACTAATTAATGTGTAACAAAAACAGATGCAGACAAGAAGAATCTGAGCATGTTGCCAGCATCGAAATTTAAAGAAAGTTCAACATTCTTAAGAATTTAAGGAAGCAAGAAGCACTTGTTTAAATATATAATTCAAATCAAGCAGTTATAAAGCCGACCCTGATCTTTTGAATACCTAAGCAACGTCTAACCGCTGCACCGCTTACTATTATTCGGTTATGTCTTTTCACTTGTGTGTACGACTCATGAAGCATTTCCTAACTTAACAAGGGAGTATTCAAAACGCATTAAATGACCACAGTCCCAAGTAGAAATAAGAAAGAAGATACGTCCATTCTCACAGATAATTTATTGCCAATTTTGATCATCCCAACTATAGCAACTAAATGTTTTTTTAAGTAGAGCATAAATATACAAAAGTAATAGCTTCTTCTTCTAGCGTTTATACAAACGATTAAAATATAAATACGTTTTTTTTCTTTTAGTGCCATCATTGCCTTGGATAAAGAACTATTCCACAAAAGGCTCTTTCATTTTCTACTGGCAATGCCACTAGTTGCTGTAGTGAATAATGTGTTAAAATATTCTGCAATGCCTTGATCTGAGGGGTCGAAGACGTGTTGAAAACGACCAAAAAGTTTTTCCCATTGATGCTTGTTGGGATGCTACCGTTTAATTAGATCTGACAGAGTTGCAGGAAATGATGTCAGTTTCGTCTCCCGTTCTTCCTTCCAATCACAGTGATGGATTACAGCTACTGGTTCAAATATACCCAACTATGTAGCTCTACCGATCTTTTGCTCGAAGTCTTTCAAATTGGCAGGTATCGATGGTATTCCACTTCCTACGAGCGTAGGTCCTACCAATAGTCAACTGTATAAGATCGCATTTCCAATTCTAATTTCGACGTTGCATTTTCCATGGATTGGTAATGTCTCTCCGATAGCTGTAGTTAAAATCAGTCACAGTTCGAATTCGCCCTTCAATACCATATCAGGACGAACGATGGTGTTGAATGACCCTGTATCGATAACCCACTCTAACATTGTGCTGATTAATAAAACCTTCTATAAATAATGAGTTAGCGTCGTCCAGTATTGAAATGATGACTTCTCTGGAGGCTTGGCGAAGTTACTTCAACATCAAGGGGTTAACCAAACACTTAGTTCAGCATCCCAGTAAATAATGACATAATGGGTCTGCAATAGACTGATTTATTGAGTATTTTTCAGGCGTTTCATTTGATGTGGACCTCTTCTTTAAGGAGACATGTCGACTACATGGTGAAGCGTCAAAAAAACTATATTTCATAATGATAAACAGTTTAGACTTTAAGAAGCTACTGATTAAACTTTATGGGTCTATCTGCTGTCTATCCGCAAGTAAAGCTCAGTTGTGTGATCTTCATCGTTGAAAGACATCTCGGACATGCTAAAGGGAGTAAGGCGTCAATTTTTACGTTATCTATCTTTTAAAATTGGATATCCATGTCTCATGATTATAAAGTTGTCACCAACAGATCGAACACGCATATATTACAGTCATTGAGAGGCTATAAAGACGCTTTATTCCTTTTGAGGCTGCTGAGGGGCTCTGTAGATTCCAATTAACTGTTAAGCACGATCCTACTTGCGTGCTGCGACCTAGATTACAGACTTTTGCGTATGATAGCAGATTAGTTGAAAATACTATGATAAATACACTGCTTCCTTTGGGAGCAAATGGAGTGACACCAGCAGGGTGTTTCAATGACTTTTATCATTACTCTTAATGTAAGTCTATAATTATTTGTAGTTGTAATTGTTAAAGGATTCTGTCAGTTCTGCTTAAACGANCTTTTATCAAGAGGTAAGTAACCCCCGGATAATTACTTTAAAGAATTTAATTCTAATCGCAAATTAAATTGCTAATAAAAGAGATAAATTACAAAAATGGAGTACGTTTTAACATAAATTGTTATTATTGTTTGGCCTCCTACAATTAAGGGAGCTAACGATTAAATATAGAGAGGGTAAGACTGTGAACATGGGAGATCCTGGGCTAACCGTACTTAATTAATCGAGTTAATTACCATTTTGTTAAAAAATTATTTCCTTTAAAAAAATTTGGACAATTGTTTGTAGTTCTGTTATATAAATTATAACTCATTTAGATTGTTATTTTATTTTCTAAATTCACAATATTATCCATTGTCTTCAATGTGGACTAGGAACCCTTTACATCTACAGCTACGGGGCTCTGAGCTGCAGCTCAAAAAGCTCATATGTCGATCCCGTTCTGATACTGTACATTCACGAGGCCCTGGACTACAGACCAAGACTGTTTTTTTTTTGTAGAAAATAGAAACTTAACCATTGTGGAAATGTTAATTTTACGCAGTATCATTGGCGGTTACTAGCGTTTTTGACGATTTTTACCTTAAAAAAGCTTATGCGTCTGTTATACATATACTTTTGTATTTTTTCTCCATGAAATATTTTTGGGATACAAAGAACACTTTCACCGCCCGTTCCACGATAATTAAATCTTCGAATAATCGCAACAATAACAAATACCGGGCGACATGTAGATAGGTAACGAAGAATGGCGCGCATGCAGGGGCAAGGGGAATATGATTCATGCTATTCTGCATTCTGCTATGTACTTCCAAACCGAACATTTTGTACATTTTATTTTAAATAAATTCAATTATAATTTAAAAACGGTCAAAGTGGTTTAGCAGTACCTATATTATAGGTACGCACCAAATACAGCATTCCCACGCAAGCCGAAAGCGAGAGCGACAAACTTCCACAAATTGGGTACCGTATTTTCTCCTCCAGGTCCGCATATGATTTTTACGATGACCCTGCTCCGAAAGTACAATTGTTTCCTGATACTGTACATTCACGAGGCCCTGGACTACAGACCAAGACTGTTTTTTTTTTGTAGAAAATAGAAACTTAACCATTGTGGAAATGTTAATTTTACGCAGTATCATTGGCGGTTACTAGCGTTTTTGACGATTTTTACCTTAAAAAAGCTTATGCGTCTGTTATACATATACTTTTGTATTTTTTCTCCATGAAATATTTTTGGGATACAAAGAACACTTTCACCGCCCGTTCCACGATAATTAAATCTTCACCGTAATTTTTCATGGGTTGTATTTATATAATACATTTCACTGTTTAGCAAATATCTTACTCGAACTTTTCAACGTGTTTTTACTTCTTTTGTTTGTAATCTTGTCTTTTATTTTTTTTTTAACTTTTCGCCTCTTTTTATCAATGGAACCATTTATCATTGCATTTAACATTTAAAGAAATAAGAATGCATGCCAAAAATAAAAAATAGAACAATGCATTTCCACTTAATGATATTTTGTGTTTTTGAAATAATGGAATACATTATGAGATTTGATAATGACGAATGCTGGCAATTATTTGAAATGTATTATCGTTTGTTAGACACATTTGTATCAGAAGCGTGAAAAAGAAATTGAAATTTAAACGAGTAAAATTAGAAAAGGCCGAGAAAATAAATGCAACAAAACAGAGTTATCAACTTACAATAGTTTCCTACTTTTCTATCAAGGAGGAGTTAGAGATAGCTTTAAATAAATTGGAAGCGATATTGACAATATAGTATTGCATAATAAAAGTAAAACAAAAATACTGATATGCAAGGGGAGAAAAAGTAGGTTAAAGAGCGACTATAAAGTTAGAAGACGAAAAATTAGAAGAAGCGACTGATTTTAGGTATCTAGGAAGTCAGATAAATCTTGATGGAAGGAGTAGTACGGATATAAAACAGAGGATAGCGCAGGTTCGAGTTGCTTTCAATAAAAAGAAGTCACTTTTATGCTATTCTAAAAAAGTGTATGTTTGGAGCGCGGCGCTGTACGAGTGCGAAACATGGACGATGGATGATGAGGGTACCATAGATAGAGAAGGTTAGAAATGAAGAGGTATTAGAAAAAATAGGAGAGCAGAGGAATCTATGGAAGTCAATAAAATGCGAAATAGGTTGGTAGAACTCCTTCTCAGGCATGAAGGTCTAGTCAGAGACATTTTAGAGGCAAAAACAGGAGACAAGAGGAGTAGAGGTAGATCTAGATTAGATTACTGTTTGCAAATGTTTAAGAATATGGGTTGTTCTAGTTTTGGGGAAATGCCAAGATTAGCTCAGGATAGGGAAGAGTAGTCCAACCAGTTTTAGGACTGACGACCTTAAGATGATGATACCACAAAAATAGTAGGTACTGTGAAAGATCTCGGTCTATGGTGACGCCAACTCTATCGAATAATCGCAACAATAACAAATACCGGGCGACATGTAGATAGGTAACGAAGAATGGCGCGCATGCAGGGGCAAGGGGAATATGATTCATGCTATTCTGCATTCTGCTATGTACTTCCAAACCGAACATTTTGTACATTTTATTTTAAATAAATTCAATTATAATTTAAAAACGGTCAAAGTGGTTTAGCAGTACCTATATTATAGGTACGCACCAAATACAGCATTCCCACGCAAGCCGAAAGCGAGAGCGACAAACTTCCACAAATTGGGTACCGTATTTTCTCCTCCAGGTCCGCATATGATTTTTACGATGACCCTGCTCCGAAAGTACAATTGTTTCCTGATACTGTACATTCACGAGGCCCTGGACTACAGACCAAGACTGTTTTTTTTTTGTAGAAAATAGAAACTTAACCATTGTGGAAATGTTAATTTTACGCAGTATCATTGGCGGTTACTAGCGTTTTTGACGATTTTTACCTTAAAAAAGCTTATGCGTCTGTTATACATATACTTTTGTATTTTTTCTCCATGAAATATTTTTGGGATACAAAGAACACTTTCACCGCCCGTTCCACGATAATTAAATCTTCGAATAATCGCAACAATAACAAATACCGGGCGACATGTAGATGGGTAACGAAGAATGGCGCGCATGCAGGGGCAAGGGGAATATGATTCATGCTATTCTGCATTCTGCTATGTACTTCCAAACCGAACATTTTGTACATTTTATTTTAAATAAATTCAATTATAATTTAAAAACGGTCAAAGTGGTTTAGCAGTACCTATATTATAGGTACGCACCAAATACAGCATTCCCACGCAAGCCGAAAGCGAGAGCGACAAACTTCCACAAATTGGGTACCGTATTTTCTCCTCCAGGTCCGCATATGATTTTTACGATGACCCTGCTCCGAAAGTACAATTGTTTCCTGATTTCAGAAATGAGAAAGTGTAATATAACCTCTCAGACAAGAAATCGCATTTACTGTTCATTGGGAAAATATTTTAACATCCTCTACATGGCAAAATCCCGAGAGGGGATGCCGTACTTTCTTGTCGAAGCCCGTATGCGTTTTTTTAGCATACTCCTGAGACGAAAGTACCATTTTTCCTAATTTCAGGAACGAGAAAATGCAACACAACCTCTCAAACAAGAAATCGAGTTAGTCTTTTAACATCTTCCTTGTGGATATTGTACAGGAGGCTATAAGTGCCGTACTCTCTTGATGAGGTCCATATACGATATTTTGCCAAATCCATTCGACGAAAACACGATTCTTCATGATTTTAGAAACGAGAAAGTGTAACCTCTTATTAATCGATATCTTTAAACAAATGATATTTTGTTGCCAAAATTTTGCTCCGTCGGCGTCGCTTACTAATTTTAATTTCTTAAAAAATTATAGATCAAACTCGCATAACTATTTGAAATTCTGGGCGTTTCTTGTTAAGTTGACATTATGACAGCAGGGGGCGCAAGAAATCTACTTTTTCATCTATGATCATGATGTTATATCGACTATGGTCATACTATTTATGGTGAAATGTCAAATTTTCATATTACATATAAATAATAGTTAACTATGTATGCTTAAATTTTAATAAGCAAGTTAAAGGAAATATTATAAACTGGTGCATGTTTTGCAATTTTTACTTTCATTTACTTTACATTGAGATTATTGGAATTTCTTTATAACGATCGCATATTATACATGTTATACACTTGTCTCTACTTGCACATACAGGTTAAAATTTTTAATTCCGTAATCAGCAGTAACAATAACCATAACTGACTTTCGAAACAGTGTTCTCCGACTGAAGGGTCAAGGTTTAAGACGAGTTCAGTTTTGATTTTACTTTGTACGTGTTACCTGACGGAGCTGTACTGTTACAATTTATGGATTAAAGGAAGTCAAAATGAAAGCATATTCGTTGTATAAATATAATAAGTTTTGAGTTTGTGATAAGATAAATCAGGTGAGATTACACATTGTTAACTATATTTCTGTTTTTTAATGAGTGTCATTTTTTATAGTGATCTCTGTTTATGATACAAATTAAGTGTTTAATGATTTTAATAAATTAGCAATCAGAATGGCCCCTAACTTTAGCAAATATTTAACACGACAGAATGCTCTCTCAGCTGCAGCATGTGCAGGGATTTTATGGTATTTAAGTGCTAGACAACGATTAAAACTTAATAAGTTAGACAGGTAATATATAACAATTAGTGCATGAATTTTTATTAAAATAAGTTACATGTTTTAGAAGAAAGATCAGAAAGAAAATTGATGAAGATGTAAAGTATTTGATAGCAGAAAAGACTGCTCCATCAACTAAAGCTCATATCGATCGCAAGTTCTTTTCTCAACTTTTTCAACTACTAAAAATAATTATACCAGGATGGACATCATCGGAGAGTGGATTACTATTTCTGGTAGCAGCAAGCTTGGTAGCTAGATCACTGTGTGATTTATGGATGATAAGTAATGGGACTAAAATTGAAAGGTATGTTCTCTGATTCCATTGTTTATGCAACCTTTGACACTACTTTTTACAACAAATCATTGTTTATATTATCTGTGACCATTAAATTATTTTTTTTGTTTTTTGTGTTTTTTCACAGTTTGGTAAATTAATTTACTGAATTTGCTATTATAGAAGAACTAAAATTGCAAATGATAAATTAGTCATTCTTTTTTATTAGAATCCTAGGTACTTATTCTATACATTCACAAGTGTCTAAAGCTATTAATTTATGACTGTCCCCTTCTTATCTACTTTTATGTAAGATAGAGGATTAGAAGTAACCAAAAAGGTTTGATGAAATACTTTTTATAATTTTTTTGTGTAATTTATTTTTTAGTACATACTTGCAAAGGTTAATAAGAAGAATATTCAAAAAT